GAGCAGGGAAGACACCTGACAGCAACCAGGGGAAGAGGGGAAGGGATTTCCAGACAGGAGGAGCAGGCTGACAAAAGCCTGGAGGCGAGACCTACAGGAAGGCTTCCGGGAACCACAGCCTGGCTGGAGGAGTGGGTGTGGGAGGAGTGCTGGCAGATGGAGGATGTCAGCCAGGTGTTGGACGCACTGAGTCAGGAATGTGGGGATTTGGGGCTGGGATGCAGTGCCAGGCTGCGGGAAGGGGTCCCTGCCCCTCTCTGGACTTCGGCAACCTACTCGTGAGGTCCCGTGTCCCGCCCCGGCATCCCAGCCCTGGCCCCTCCCCCATGCCCCCGCCCCCATGCCAGCCCCCACCCCTGGGTCAGAGAGAAGAGGAGCTGGGCCAGGGGAGCTAGAGATGGGGGAGTTCAGCCCATGTTCCTAGTTTGTCCCTGGAGTTGGGGGTGGGGAGGTTACAGGCGCTGGCGCTGGGTGAGGGACACACCCGCTGGCCGTCACAGCCCCGCCCTAACTCCGCCCTTCCTAGGGAATAGCTTCGTCAGGCACAATGCCCGCCAGCTGACCCGTGTCTACCCGCTGGGGCTGCGGATGAACTCGGCCAACTACAGCCCCCAGGAGATGTGGAACTCGGGCTGTCAGCTGGGTGAGTTGGGGTGCAGCAGGAGCAGGGATGGGCAGGGTGCCGCTTTCTGGGGTGGCCTCTGGGGAGCGATGGGAGGCCCCAGCAGTGATGAGTGTAAAAGTCTCACACTTTTTATGAAGGCAGAAATTAAAAACCTCCACTCCCATGTGTCCCTCTGACACACGTACACACACACACACCTGGCAGTCCCACTAAGTCAACGCTGACGAGGGTGGATTCTGGAGGGACGTTGAGCTGTGCCAAAGGAGGGGAGTATGGTCCCCTTGGGGGTAGGTATGGAAAACCCAGGCTTCCTTGGGCCCCGGCTCTGGCCCAGGCCTAGGCCCAGCCCCACCCTCTAGCCTGGAGGGATACCAGGAATAAGTACAGGTGACAGTAGGGGCTGGGTCCCCTGGCTGCACCCCTCAAGCCATGGTGGGGGTGGGGCAGCACTCCCCAGACAGTAGGACCCTGGGCCCTCTGTAGAGAGGAACTGAGCCCTGTCCCCACAGGTCTGTCTGTGGGGGAGGCAATGAGGCCCCTGAAACCAAGCAGTGAGGAAAGGGCCAGTAAGAGCCTCTGCCCTGACCCTGCTGTGTCCACAGTGGCCCTGAACTTCCAGACGCCAGGTTATGAGATGGACCTCAATGCTGGGCGCTTCCTCATCAACGGACAGTGTGGCTACGTCCTGAAACCTGCCTGCCTGCGGCAGCCTGACACAACCTTTGACCCTGAGTGTCCTGGACCCCCCAGAACTACGCTCACCATCCAGGTCAGCAGCCTGGACCGAGCCCTACCCTGGGGTCAGAGCTAGTTCTGGAGAGGTCCTGATCTGCAGGGTGCCAGCCTCAAGTGGAGGAAGACAGCAGAGGCCTGGGGACGGCTTGGTGTGAGGGTACTCTGAGTCCCGTGCAGGGAGGGTCAGTGGGAGTGGCCAGGCCAAGGGGCCGCCTACCTGGCAGAGGGGCAGGGCAGGCATGGGCCCTGGAAGGGACCACAGTGAAGCTCCCCTTCGTCCCCCAACAGGTGCTGACTGCACAGCAGCTGCCCAAGCTGAATGCCGAGAAGCCAAACTCCATCGTGGACCCCCTGGTACGCGTGGAGATCCATGGCGTGCCTGCAGACTGTGCTCGAAAGGAGACCAACTACGTGCTCAACAACGGTGGGTGGCCCTGCTAGTGGGAGTGAAGCAGGGCAGACACAGAGAAGGGAGGGAGGTGCAGGCGGGCCTGGGGGCCAGCTGGTCTGACTGCCATGCCTGTGTCCTAGGCTTCAACCCCCGCTGGGGGCAGACCCTGCAGTTCCAGCTGCGGGCTCCGGAGCTGGTGCTGGTCCGGTTCGTGGTAGAAGATTATGACACCACCTCCCCCAATGATTTTGTGGGCCAGTTTACGCTGCCTCTCAACAGCCTGAAGCAAGGTTGGTGGGTTGGGGGGGATGGAAAGGGATGGGGGTCCAGGCCTCCAAGACCCTGTTCACCTGGGCTGCGAATTTCCTTTGAGAGCCTGCCCTGAGCCAGGCCCGAGTGGGGGCCCAGCCCCTAGCGTTGGGATGTGCTCTGCGCCCCACTCGGCCCTGGTCCTGTAGGACGGTGGGCAGAGAACCTGACACATGGCTACTCTCCCCACAGGGTACCGCCACATCCACCTGCTTTCCAAGGATGGGGCCTCACTGTCCCCAGCCACGCTCTTCGTCCATATCCGCATCCAGTGCTCCTGAGGGCCCAAGTGACCCACTCTGGGCAGAGACCCTCTCCTCCTCTGGAGTGGAGGGGCGGTGGGAGTGCCAGCCCCTCCAGCCTGCCCACTTTGCCTGCTCTCCAGACTCTGGTCTCAACTGGGTGAAGGTGGCCTCGGCCCCTCCTGAAAACAGGCGGTTGATCTTTTCCCTGCCATTGCCTCCCGCTCCTGTGGTCCTCGGCCCACCCCTCATCGTGGCTTATGAAGAGCCAGGCCTGTTGCTGCCAGGAGAATTGAGGGGCAGGACACGTGAGCCCTCACAGCAGGGCCATCCCAGCCTCTTTCCCCACAGGAGTCCATCTCCCTTTTCTCCCCCCAGGCATTAGTCATCCCCCAAGGCCCTCCTACCCCCGAGGCTTTTCTGGCCTCCTCCCTCCCGCTCTTGAACCTGAGCTCTTCTTAAAGCAAGAAGCGAGAGCTGAGGCTTGGAGCCCTGAGAAACCTAGGAGGAGGTTTTTAACTTGTGTCAGAGAAGAGCCGTGGAGAGGGCAGGAGAACAAGACTATCTGTTTTAAAAAATAAAGAAGCAAGTTTATTTAACCACTGCCACCCCCAGAGCACCTGTGAAGCCAGGCCACACCCACAGGCCCACGAGGAGGGATGGGGACAGAGGGAGTCTCTTGGGCCTCTTCACCCAGCAGGGCTTGAATTTGTCTAAGACAGCCAGCGGGTGCCGGAGGAGATGCCACAGCCCAAGATAGCTCTGACTTAAAGCTGCTGCCAGTATCAGGACTGTGGGGGCACCAATTCACAAGGCCACCCCACCACCACCAGCACACCACAGACACACACACACACCCCACCACCACCACAGACACACACACACACACACACACACACACGGGCCTTGAATGGGAAGGGGGCAGGTGGGTGGGCTTCTGCCATGGCAGAACTGTTATGGCCCTAAAGGGAGTGGGACAGGACTCTGAGGGACCTCAGACAGACCCCTACCTTCCAGGCTGAGCTGGGTTCAAGGCCCCTGTCTGCTCAGTAGACAAAGCCCAGAGACCTGGGGCTCTCCTTCCACCAGCCAATCAGCCTTTTAGACGCAGACCTGGAAAGCAGCAGGCTGCTCCAGCTGCCTCCAGAGATGCTAGGAGCGTGCAGAGACACTGGATGACAGGATCCAGAGAAAACCTGTCAGAAAGGTGTCTTTCTGGGGTAAAGTGGAGCCCTGGCATTTGGGGTTCCATCAGGCAACCACACTGACACTGAACAGAGCAGAGCTTCATGGCAGCTCCCGGAGGGCGGCCTGGGAGCAGGGCTGAGCTAGGGCTTGAATCAGTCCCCACAGAACCCAGGGCTGGGCTGTCTCCACCTTCCAGCAACCCCATGACCTGGGGCAGGAAGTGACAGCCTCACCCTGCTCTGAGTTCACGCCAAGTAGCATTTGGTTCTGATGAATCCGTGTGTCTGAAAGAGGATGAGCAGACTCTGCAGGAGCCGAGCAGCCCCCTGTCCAGGAACCATGAAGGAATGGGTGGGCAGCCTAGGTGCGCAGTACTCAGGACTGTCGGGAGGGTCAGGCAGCCAAACTGCAGCCCTGGGTGGGAGGCCCGGCGAGGCCGAGGCCAGTTTCAGCGCATGAAGAGCAATTTGGCCCTACAGAGCCAGCTCTGGTCAGGGCCTGGGCTGGGGGCCTGTCGGTGAGCTGGACCCTGGGCTGAGCCCCGCATTCTGCTCCTCTTCTGTGGTCTGGTGTAGCAGGGGGAAGGTTTACTGCTGGGATAAGAGCCCCAAGGCTGGGAAGACCACCTTGACAGGGCAGGAGTCTTTAATGCAGGAAAAGCGATGGGAACTGCACATGGGAGGTGCAGGCAAAGAAATCACGCCTGCAACTCTGGAGGTCCCTGGGCACAGACCACCCAGAGGGCTGTGTTCTCCCAGCCAAATCTAAGGGCGGGAGTGAAGGCCTGAGCCTTCAGGAGCTAGAGCGAACGGTGGAGGTGGGTTTAGGCGCGTCAGGAGTCCTCTGGGAAAGCCCTCACATGATCCCGGGGGCAGGTGCTGGGTTCGCTGGCTGCAGCTCAGGGCCCAGGTTCCCTGGAAAGGGGCTCAGAGGCACCAGCCATGGGGGTCCTGAAAGGAGCATGGGGTCAGGGCATGGATGGAAAGCTCCAGGAGGAAGAGAACCGGGAATGGGAAATCTAAACGCAGTTGTGCAGGTCTCCTCAGAGCGAGTGCAGTGGGGCCTGGCGACTGCAGTGTTAAAAGGCATCCCTGGTGGCTCCACAGAACCACCCAGCCCCTGGCCCAGAAGGGGAGATGTGGCATCTAGACCAGTGGGAAGGGGCAGTGTCATCAGAAGAGCCACTGCTGCCCGAGGGGGCTGCTCTGTTCCCAGCCGTGGGAGCCCTGGTGCTGGCCCGGAGCCCAGCCACTCCTCTCACACGGAGTGAAGCTGCGTCAGTACTGGCTCCTCGCTGGTGGGTGGGAGAGGTTAGGGGAAAAGAGCCAAGTTTGCCCTGAAAGGGCAGCCTTGCCAAAGGAAGGATGCACAAGTTGCCTGGTGCAGTAGTCCTGAGGGCCTTTCCTGAAGGGCTTATCACCCTCAAGGAGAGGCCACTCAAGCCCAGGCTGGGACTCCATCTGTCCCACTGCCACCTGCAGACCAGAGGAAAACCAGGAGGGCAGAAGGGTTTTCTTCAGCTGCTTCCTTTATTAGAAACAAGTGAGATGTATGGAGCAGAACAACAATGCATTTGTTTTTTCTTCCCCTACCCTGGAAATGGATGCCCCTCCCGCAGTTCAGAGAAAAGCCAAGACAAAAAGGTGAAGCGTCTGCCTTCCCTGTTCCCAGATGCGGCACCTGCCTGCGGTCAATATTTTTAATTGAGTGAAACTGTCCCACACAGCCTCCCTAGGAACAGTCTATTTGCAAGCCTGCCTTCACTTTGAAGTAGGGCAAAACTAAAGCCTTGGGTCTCCTCTGGTTCTGGGGCAGGTGAGCCAGGCCACAGAAAGGCTGCCCCCTGGTGGGTAGGCACTGGCCAGAGATACGCTCCCGCCCCCCTCCTCTGGCCTGCCAGTCAGTCCCTTACCCTCTCCTCGACTGCAGCTCCGTGAAGCTATCCAGGCCTTTGGGCCATCCCTTTGGTTGGTTAAATGCTGGTCATCTTTTGGTAAAGAATTCAAGACCACAAGGGCACCTACTCCTTGGCTTCAATGAGCCAGCAAGTAAGGGGTGATGGCAGTTACAAGGGAGTTGCAGGCAAGGCCTGAAATTTTCCATAAACCTAGGTGTTGAAGTGGCTTGGTGTGGGCTGGCCTTCAAATCAGACGTCGGCGTCTTCAGAAGGAGGCACGTGTGAGGGAAATGAGCCTTGTGGAGACCTCACTCCAGAGCTGAGGCCTCCTTTCTACCCAGCTTTCTCCCTCCAGAGACCGGAAGCCGTGGGAATGTGCCACAGGGTCAGGGGTCAAATGCAGAGTCAATCCAAAGGCAAGAGGTCAACCTCTAGAAACACAGAATCCAAAAGCCCAATGCCAGCAAGGAGTACTGGCGGCAGAGTGAGGGCCAGGCCGGGAGGCCCTCCGACAGCGCTGCCTGAGGCAGGTCCCAGGTGATGGGCTTGGAAGCTCCAGGGTGCTTCCCTTGTTTGGTTCAAACCAACTATGGCCCCACCATCCTGCAAGTCTCCTTGTGGGGAGGCCCTGAACCCCAAGCAACGGTTCTGTCTCAGCTCTCTGGCCTGAAGTCCTGGAAGGGGTTGAGCGAAGAACCCAGGGGCTGTTTGGACAAAAAGGAGACTAAGAGCAGCCACCGACTCCTGCAGATGGGGGCAGTGGTGCGGAGGGCTGGGCGGGGTCCCGTGAGACAACAGCAGAGTCCAAGGAGCAGGCCACATGGTTTTGGAGGGAGACCTAGGAGATCTGTTTCTTCCAGAGCAGCCACGGGCCTCACAGTTTCCATTCCATGACCTGGGCCAACCAAGGCAAAGCTTACTCCAGGGGCTGCTGTGCACCCTAAACATGGTGAGCTGCTCTAGGACTTGGGGCGCCGGGGGTCTGATGTCTGTGAGCTGTGAAGGCAAGCCCCTGCCTCTCCAGCTCCTCCTGTCTGTGGAATGCAGGGCACATCTTGCTAAGAACAGCAGCTTCTTTGGTCTGGGTATCTTGGAGTCAAGGAGTCAAACGTCAGCCACGACTGCTGGTGCCTGGGGCTGGCAGCACAGGGAAAATGGGGAGAAGGGAGGCCCCTAGAGGCCTCTGATGAAAATCCAATAAGTGGAGTTGCAGGCTCCAGCAGCAGGCTGCAGAGCGGGCAGCGTTCCAGCAGGTGGCACAGCTCCCATCCCAAGCACACAATTTCCTCCAGTTTTGGGGACTCTGCAGAATGAGCCTCTGGCAAACTTCACCAAAACTTAGAGCCTGAAACACAGCTCTGTTGGCCTACAGAGCATGGCTTCAGTTAGTGGGACTCGGCTGAGCCTGGCCTCTTGGCCAAGGCTTCCTTCCCCTACAAGTAGCCGAGAGGCGAAAGCAGCCAGGAACCACCCCCCACACCACATGCCGCCCTATCCACCCATTACTTTCTCCTAGAGCAAAAGCTACACAGAAACCTGGATGTGGGTCACTGACAATTCCACAGCCCAGTCCTCCCCAAGCCACTTGGCTGAGCACAACTAAGGAATGCCCACACGGACAACCACGTGACCGGAGGCTCCATTACTTTTGGGGAAATTGGCAGCATTAATAACCATCACCACCACCACAAAAATCCACAAAACATCATCAGAGAAAATGAGACTCAGACAACGGCAACATAAAGTCATTTCTGCTGCCAAGTCCAGATCGGCGTCTAACTAGCACTCCTTCCACTCCCTGCGGGCAGAGTCTTGAAAAGGAGCACAACGAGATGTGGCTAATGGGCTGGAAGGCACGGGCCAGGCAGCTGCAGGGGCCTGGGTATCGGCCCCACGCTGTCCTTGCCCAACCACCCTGGGGGCATCAAGGTGCTGGCCCTCTGCTCTAAGATGAGCTAAGCAGGGCTGGCACTGATATGGTCCCCACAAGGTCCCAGATGCTACAAGGAGGTCCGAGGTCTCCTTCAAACTGCCAGTCACCCCAGGCAGTGGAAAAATGCAGTCTCACAGCGGACTCATCCCTATAAGGTTGGCAACAGCTGGCTAAAGAGCCTTTTTAAATCAGTTGGCAGGACGACTTCCTACAGGGAGCAGGCCGAGAGGATGGAAGAAGGGACTCAACTAAGGAAATCAGCTTCCCCAGATCATGCCTGCTGCGGCCTCTGAAGGGACGCCTCTGCGTGGGGTCAGCCCCGCCAGGACTCCCCCTGCCGTTCTGTGAGATCCGAGCGCTCCCCAAAGCTCGGCACAGTCCCTCCACCTTACCCTGCCTTCTCGAAGCGAATCATTCCAGCCAATTCAGAAGGGAAACTGGCTAAGATTCCCCACATCCTCTTTCTCCTGCTCCACCAAGAAAAGTCAATGCCTGCTTTCAGAAGGAAAAAATTCACTGTACCAATATGTTTGTCTGGCACTGTCCTTGGCTTCTAATTTTGAGGAATGATCTGGATTCAGTTTTTCATTAGAGACCGAACATCCTTGTACATTTGGAACATGAAAGATATTTAAAATATTTATATATATAATATATATATATACTTTTATTATTCACCCGTTAACTCCATAATATGCCAATCACGAGCTAGCTTTCAGCAGTTACATTCCCTTGATCACGGCTGCATAAGAATGTGATAAATTGGAAAACAGGGAGACCAGAGACATGGCCAGAGGTGACATCACGCAGCCTACGCTTGCAATACAATTGTCAAGTTCAGTGGTGGTTTGGTAAAGCCGGTTCAGTTCTGTTCCCTTTGCCTGGGACTCTCACGTTTGTGAAAATTGGACCAACAAGTGGTGGGGTTCCATTTCCTGGTTTGAATTCTCAGTGGCTTTATCCAGAATCTCACTGGCAACTGGTTACTGTAACACCAGCCCAACCTAGGAGAGCCAATGGGGAGAGGCAGAGTTGAGTCGACAGTTGTCTGAAGACTCTCTCACTTCCCCCCAAGTCCTGAAGTTCCAGATGACTGAGCCCCTGGGCCACTGGGCTGTGGGAGTGGTCACGGCGAGCCGGGACTCTCACCCCACCTCCACAGAGGCTTTATACATCTATCAGGCCCTCCAAGGAAAGCAGCTGCCAGCATCCTGAGGAACACTGGTCACAAGGCTCCCTCCAGCTCATCTGTCAGTTATTTCGTAAATGCTGGCAACAGCCATAGCCCTGGGCTGCCATTCGGAGCTGGTGGAGCAAGAGCTGAGGAAGGGTCACACTGGGAGGAGGCAGGCAGCCCAGCAGAGGAAAAATCCCTCAGATCTGCAGACTCTAACCTTCCTGGCTAACCAGGGCACTGACTTGCAGTCTGGACTGTCCCGAATGCCCTGCCCCCAGGGCTGAGGTGGCTCACCTGATGGGAACAGAAGCTGGAGACCACCTTCTTCCCTGCCTGGCTAACCAGGGAACACTGACCCTGCTAGTCTGGCCATCACAGAAAGGGGACCTTACAAGGGCCCAAACACCACTTAACAAGGGCCGAGACTGATGCTGGATCCCAGACGTGTGGCCCTATTTCTGCTGGAGACACCAACTCCCTGAGCCAGGCAGCCGAATGGGACCTTGGTGGAGGCTGCACACGGCACGTACGTACCTTCTCCGCCCCCATGCTGGGGCACTTCCAATTGTAAAGATAATACTGCAGGTTGCCATCCCCTATGCCAAACTTGAGCTTCTCCAGGAAGGTTTTGTTCTCCATGAGATCCAGTGCATTGAACACGTCAAACCCTTTCTGCACAGCAGCAGGGAGAAACACGAATAGATGAAGACAGGTAAACGCTGCCTCACTTTCTGCCCTTTTCTATCACGTCAAAACCATCACAGAGGCAGCCATGAGAGCACTCTTCCTTCCGAAGCTCCGGCTGCCTCCATGTGAAATCCAAACTCCAGCCAGTGCCCTGCTCTCCAGTGGCGGTTCTCACGACACTCTGAGCGCCACTCCACCCGGCCTCTCCTCAGTGTCCCTCCAAGTACACACTTGTGTTCTCAGTGTCAGGCCACTGCAGTTAACAACTGTTCCTTGTTAAGCCTCTGAAACACTCCAGAAATTTCCACAGTCCTCTCTGGAGACCAAGCCCGAAAGCCCTTCCTCTGAGAAGCTGGCTCCTGTCAGCTACTTGGCATGTGCATTGTTCCCTTGCTCCCCAGACACCCAAATCCTAGGCCTTCAGTGTGCACCATGTGACTTTACGGACCTCATGCTGCTTTGAGACTGTGACGAAGACACTTCCTAAATTTCACCAACTCAGTCAGAAGCTCTCACAGGGCAAAGACTGGACTGTCCATCGTTTGGCCAGCCCACAGGAGGCTGGGCCCAGTACCGGCAGAACCCACAATGAAGGACTGAGTGACGATCACCTCCCCGGGTGTAACAGAAGCCCAGGCCCCGCCCCTCATGCTCTACAGTCGGCCGCGCCAATGACTCACCACAATAGAGACCAATTTCCCCATTCTCTTGCTCGGGAAGTCGTAAGGGGAATCCCTCAACTGCCAGAGCAGGCCAGGCTATTCAGGCTCCCTGGCAGCATGCCCCGAGAGAATGGAACTCACCGTAATGAATCAGAGTTCAATGCTTCCCTTCATGTGGATGCCCCTTGCTCTCTCCTAGTTTTGAGCTGCTGGCTGAAAACTGCTGGGCCCCTTCCTAAGGGGAGCAGGAGGGCGAGGAGGGCTCGAAGACCCCACCGGGGCAGCTACTCCCATGAGCAGTGCTCACCACTGCTCCACCGCCCCTTGCCCACAGATCTCCAGACCCTCCGGGCTTCTCCTCACCATTTTGGCGAGAACAAGGGCATCGCTCATGAGGTCTAGAAGAGGGGTCTGGGTGTGAACGTTGTAGAAAGAATAAGCAGCCTTTAGACTCTTGTGGGTTGGATGGTTCATGATGGTGGAAGGAAGTGTATAAAAGCTCAGGAAATCCGTCACCTCTCCGTTTGCATTCTGAAGGGAAAACAACAAAAGGAGGCAACGTCACATGTGCACGAGGATCCATCCTGCAGCCTGGGAACAAAGCTTGCAATTGCTCCCATACCCTCAGGCAGCTCTGCTCCTCTAGATGAATGGGTGAAATGCGGGGAGAAGATACACTGGCTAAGGGCACTTGAGGACAGAGCCAGGAGGAAAATCCAAGCAGGACTGTCGGCTGAACCTGCCGAGCTCCCCTTCCCTGCCTGCCAGGGACTTCTTGCAGCTCACATTCCCCCAAACCGTGTCCTCAATGCCTGGCCAGCACCACCTCAAGCAGGGACGGGCAGGGAATCGAAGGCTTACCTGACTAGGGGGGCTCAGTTCTCTACTCTGGGTCACCAACGGGGACTGGGGAGGAGCGGGGAAGAAGGGCTCATGCCTAGTCCAGAGGGCATCCTTTTAGCAAGTGTAAGCTACAACTTCCTGTCTCCAGGGAGGACCAAGTGTGGATGCTCAAGATAGTCCACGGCGCCAACAATCCTGCCAGTCAGTTCTTCAGTCACCAAGCCCAGGGAACCTGGCCGCTTGAGGAGGCTGCCTCTCTGCAAATGGGTCAGAGGACCAGAACACCCCTCCCCACTCACCTCCACCACAAAAGTGTCGATGATATTCTCCTGGGGGTAGAACCAGTGCTCCACCTCCTCCTGGCTCATGACTGGCGTGAGGTGGAACTGCTTCAGGTACCTAGTGAGAAGCTGGTGGACTACTGGAATGTCTTTTTTTTCCATTGGTCGCAGCCCGGCTGTCTTGGGAGTCTGGAGGGAAGACAGATGAGACAGCATCAGATGTGCTGACCGTGAGCATCTTGGCTCCCTCTCAAGTCCTCCAGACACCCAAAACTTCACGCTGTCTCCCTTCCTACCTCGACCCTGGATCTATCCACCCAGGCCCTCAAGAGAGAATCCTCAGTCACCCTTGGCAACTCCCTCTCACCCACTGTCCATATCCACTCAGGCACATGTCCTGCCTCTTCGGTGTCTTTGGCCCCTTCCCTCCTAGTTAAGGCTGTCTGTCGTCCTTGGCTAAGGCTGTTGCTTCAATCTCTTATCCATATGGCCCAGGCTGTCTTCCTAAGAAAACATAACCCATTATGCTCCTCCCTTGTTCCACAGGTTCTGACACAGAACACAAGACCTTCTACCCTCTGGACCAGTTGGCTCTTGTGACTGTGCCTTCTGTCCTACTAACCTAGTAGCTCTCAGTGGGGGCAATTTTGCCCCCCGGAGGACAACTAACAATATTCGGAGACATTTTTGATTGTCACAGTTAGGAGGAGGGGTGCTACTGGCATCTAGTGGGTAGAAGCCAGGGATGCTGCTAAACATCCTATAACGCACAGGACAAACCCCTAAAACAAAGAATTACCTGGCCCAAAATGCTAATGGTGCCATAATGGAGAGAAACCCTGACTACCCCCATTGATGTGTTGGGCTAGGTCCAGCCAAGTGCTACTCCTGGGCCTCAGCAAAGCCTTTCTTGGCCCCTCTCCTCCAAGCCCTCACAACCTCCTCCCACTGAAGGTAGCTGACCTCTTTCTACACTGGTCTCTTCTATAGACCTAGAGCATTGCACAGACACGTTCCCAGCCACTGGCACTGGGGAACCCCTAGGCCCAGCAGAGTCTGCACTAGATGCCCACTTTGTCTGTCTACTTGGACAGCAGTGCCACCCAGAGTGCCCCCAGCAGGACACTGCTGCCAGTTAAATTCAGAAGGAAAGCATGAACTGCTGGGATTTAATCTCAAACCAGAATCCCACCCCACAGCTGCTGTTTCTTAAAAAACGCTTCAGTGGAATGAAGCCATGTGATGCTCTAGAGTAAATAGGGGGGCTGACAGAACATCCCCAAAGGCTCAACACACAAAGGTGGGGTCAGCCAGTCTGAAAACAGGGCGGAGTTATATACCACAGTCTCTGTCTGATACAAGTGCTTCTCAGTGTAGGAACTGCTTTTAAAACTGGAGTTCCAGGATCTCTAGCCACCAAATTTCCTTGCTGATGGTGATATCTCTAGGGAACACTTACTGACCTCATTTCTACATGGTAGCTCCTACAAGGACACCTCAAATCCTGGACAGAGAAGCAGCCAGGCTGGGGTTCTCGCTCACAGGAGAGCTCCAGAGACACTCTTCTAGCTGCTATACCACTTTAAGAACGCTCTCTGCCTGCCTAGAACTCAGGGCAAATCTGTCATAATACCAGAAAGGAGAAGACACCCATCATGGCCCCCCAAATCTGGTTCTTTGGGCAGTGTCTAACTACGCTGCAGTGGTCTCTCAAAATGGGACACTAATGACTCCAATCCAGTGGGGGATTAGCCCAATTCCAAGGATTAATCCAGTTTAGGCGGGCAGCCCTCTGATGGGCAGGCACCCAATAACTGTGCTGACACTGACCAGAAGAGCCCTGAGTGAAGAGAAGCGATTCTAAGACCTGTGAGGATCCTGAACCAGGCACAAGTGGAGAACAAGGAGCATTTGTTTTATTGGGCAGCTAGGCGAACTGGGACCCAGAATAGAAAACCAGCTCACTCCAGGTTGCCCAGTCCTTCAATGGCAAAATCTGGACGGGGGAACTGGGATTACAAATCTGGGCTTCCCTCGCCAGCTCAGGTCACGCCTCCTTCACCTGACTGCGCAGAGGGAGCGGCAGACGCTTTATGGCCTATTGTCACTGGGCTCCGGGATGTGCTGCAGCCCAGTGAGTGGATTCAACTTTCTATTTATGCTTCACCAAGGCTCAAGTCACAGAGAATAGGTGATCCGAGCCTATCACCAGATGACAGAGAAGCTAGCCCAGATGCAGGCACAGGAGAACTGAGAAAGTCACACTAAAACAAAACTCTTGCTATAGATAACAGATATGGAAAGTCTAGGAATCTGGAAACCACAGGTCAGGTCACTTTTCTGGCCCCCCAGCCCCACCCCAAAGCTTTGTTCCTTTCCTCTGAGGACCAGGCTCTCCTCGGCCTCTCTCTGGCCCCTGCCCATCACCCCAGAGCACCACTGGCCTCTGGCAGTCGGTAGAGCTTCATGGTACGCTGCATAGTCATATTTCTGCTCAGGTGGGAGAACTTCACTTCAATCAGCTTCCGGGGGTTTAGGGACCGATGCCAGTACCTGTGGGGACACAAATGTCCTGTCCTCAGAGGATTCTGGCAAGTTCCATTAAGAGGACGACAGGATGGAGATCTCCAGATGGCCAGCAGGTGGCGTGAGAGACACATCGGGCTCCATTTGAGCCAGTGGCGTCGCCCCACTCTCCAACCTCCCCCCAGTGAATGCAGAGCTGCACAGCTCTTCCTGTATTTTCTTTCTCCCTGCTTTTCCTTCTCAGTTTCAAAAGCCACTCCCCTGTTACAGCAGTTGTCTGGGAAGAGCACTCCTCACTCCTGGAATCAAGTCAACGGGAGACACAGTTCTCTGAACGTTCATCCTCCTCTCCCTCCTCTGCTGCATTTGCCTGATGCTTTGACTGCTGAAGTTCTTGAGGCAGGGAATGTTCAATTTTCAAACAACTTTCTGAGGCAGCTGTCTTGGGTCACAGAGGGATCAGACATGCTCTCTTTGGTCCACACAATATTCAAAACAAAATTGAGCCAACCATTTAAAACTTTTGGACACTTACTGTAAAAATCCAGACTTGGGTTTATCCTTAAAAAACTAAAAAAAACCCCCAGCAGACTGACACCCCTCCCATTTCCAAATGGCAGGAATCAGCAGGAACTGGGAATGGCTAACCCCCTTGGGCAGGGCACACACTCTCCAGTCTGCCCTTCCTACAAGATCCCTCTTCACGCCTCCACGCTCCCTACCTGGATCCTGTGGGCACCCACCACCCATCTTATCAGATGCTAGAGAAGCAAGATGCTCCCGGGCACATACTGAGCTGAGGGGCAGAGTTGTGACTCAGTGACATGGCTCAACCAGAGCAGGCATGCCAGTATTTCTAGGATCATGCAAGAGATTTTTACCTGCAAGTGCCAACAGGCTTTGGTAAGACCACCCCGGCAGTGTAAACAGCTTGGAAAATGCCCTCCAGGTGAACCCGCCGGGTTATCTCTCGGATCAGGACGGGAGCCACCCTCTTAGAGCGCAGCTTCTTGTGGACACATAGGAAGTTGATCTCCACCATCTTCTTCTCTCTGGAGAGAGGGGAGAAAAATCCAGAGATGAGGCTTTTAACACGGAAGGTAATCCCTTCAAGTACATGGAGCCACCCCTGTAGGGCCGGGGTCTCCAGCACAGGCATGCATTCGGCATCACCTGCACTCCGTGGTCAGTACTCAACTCCCTCCCGCTGCTCTGCTGTACCAGGCAGGGACCCCACTCTCAACACAGACTCCGCGTCCAGAGGTTAAGTAGGACTCAAGCAAACTCCTTTATTGGAGGCACCACCAGCATCTCCCTGATGAATTCCCAACAGCAGGCAGGGAACCCCACAGAGCAAGTCAAGGGCTATTCTAGGATTTCAGGGGTTCTAACTCCTACAAGAATCCATGGCCTATAAGCCCAGACGGCTGTGGTAGAAGAATCTGATATTTCCAGGGAAAATGAACAGCACAGCTCAAAGGCCCTGTGACCATTTGGATGTGAGTCACACTGGCTCCAGCTCATTTCTGAAGCTGCCCAAGTGTCTCAGCGTGTGACTGGTGCCAGTGCAAACACTGAGCTCCTGTTCAGGTAGCACACTGGCCCCCAGGTGGAGCCTTTCCAGCCCAGGACACAGATGAGAAGCAGCAACAATTCACAGCAAAACAGGTGGTTCCTATTATGAATTTCTATTCCTAGGACCTGAGATCCCTCCCTTCATGGGACCTCCCCTCTTTCTTTTGTGGAAGGTGTACCTTTTTTCTTCTCCCTCCCAGACCAAGTAGGATGGTGGGGACATGGGGGGTGGGGGGTGGTGTAGGAGCTTACGTGTCATAGATGTGGATGTTTGCTGGGATGGCACTAATGAACCCAACCAGTTTCCGACTTGAGACCACTCGAACCCCGCAGTGCCACTGGGGGAGCCAGCCAGGCGGCCGGAGAGCCCTAGAGGAGAGACAGGGGCTGTGGCTGCGGTGCTGCATGCCAGCGGGCTGGGCAGGCTGTTTGGGCTCCACAGCTGAGTCTTGTTTCTAACCCCGTGCTACCACCTCACTGGGAGTTAACAGCTAAATTCTCTTCAGAGCCAAGCCCTCCTGGACACAAATGGGATCGAGCCAGAGCCCCTTCTTGCTGCTCAGCCCACTTGGCCTACTTACTCACCCAATTCAAAGCTGGCATACTGAGGATTTCACACCCGATCCAATTTCTCTGTGCTCACTCACTCTGACAGCCAGAGGACTGGCCTCCTTGGCTCCGAGTCCAGTGGGTCTCGTGGTTGGGAGTCGACTGTGGAACCCCTGGAGCTCTGATCTCCAACTGCCCTCTGGGTACCATCATTCCCACTCAGCTTTCTGCCCATTTGTCCTTTCCCCCTCCATTTCAGCCTCATGCCTCTACCTTCTTGGATATTAAACGTGGCCCAGGAGGGTGGATGGCTCAGCAAGGCAAGGCCATTTTCATACACCTGAGTGTGCTCAGGACCTGGATAGAAAACGACCCTGCTTTTCCTTTCCATCTTAGTGAGTCCCATCCCTCCTTCCCTTCTTACATAAAGTCACCATACAACAGATGCTCTTTTCTTCTGGGTACCAATTCCACAAAGGTCTCCCTCACCCAGTCATTCTACCTTAAATAAGGTTTCTATTCTAAGCTCCCCTGGAAGCAAGCCTCCTTCAGATGCAGGAACTCAAAAATTACACACTAATTTCCCATAAAAGGTTGGCTCTTAGCAGGGATGAAAAATCTGGCACCCTGTGGTTATTCTGCTCTATGCCTTGCCCCAGAACCATAAGAAAGCCCTTACAACTCACCACAAAAGAAATTCTGGGGAATAATCAAATCGGAACATGTTGTCATCATCTTCCACATAATTCTCATTCAGGAGGGTATACAGTTCTTTCAGCTGTAGAGAAAGAAGGAGCCGCCTTGGAGGTATTCTGCCAGACAGGGGACCACCTCCAGTACCCTGGGGCTCCAGGCTTTTCAGAAGGAGAAGGCAAAATACCAAAACCTCTACTGACTCTCCCAAACCCTTTGCAGCCCAGGCATGGCAGAGGCTCTTCTGGAACAAGCACCCTAGCTGTAAGAGGAGACTGAGCTGCCAAGGAAGGGGTGGAGGGATGGACTTAACTAAAGCGGCAGACCAAGAATGTCATGCAACTAACCAACAACTCCACCTTTAAGACATGGCAATGAATGAAGGGATGAACAAGAAAGATGAAAGCCTGAAAAAAGGGTATCTACCTTGGGGTGCTACAGAGGTTAACCTTCAACTTGCCAGAAAAGTTGAGTACTATTTATGGGGAGTCTTGGGCAGGCCCCAGAGGCAACAGATGGGGGGTCTGCTCCGACCTGCTTGGCTCAGCTCTCAAGAGAGTCCTCGAGGAAGGCTTAAGTACAAGCTGTCTTGGTATGACGGCAGGGCTCACTATGAAAGTGGTGCCAATCCACACCTGTGCCCTGCCTGGGCCTACTCACCACACCCCGGTCGCCCAGGTCCAAGGCATCCCAGGTGAAGCCCTGGGGCAGGGTGTAGGGCTCCCGGCGGATGTTGTCTTTGTCAGGCTCCACGGGACCGTGGGTGTTCACCACTTCTCCTGGAAGAAGAGCAAGCCATGAGCCTCACCCTCTGCCTCCTGGGGGAGGGAAGGGACTCCGCTCAAAAATCGACCTCCTGTCCCTGAGCACTCTCCATCTGAAGAACACTCTGTGCTTGGCAATTGCTTACCATCTCTCCAGCTACCCTTGGCCCCTAACTGAGGGCCAATTCTTGGCACAACTTTAGAACAATCACTGGGATCCAAGGTGGTTGGTTTTTTGGAAGTCCTTCTAAATCTCCCTTCGGCTACTGAATGACAAACATTTATCTTGACTAATTTGGCTTCCTGCCTCCTGGTTGCTGTGGAGTACTGTCATGGCCCTGGCCCGGGCCCATCGACCTGGATGGATTTTTAAGGAGCTAAACAAGGCTGCTTTTGTGTCATCAGCAACAATAATGTACTGGGTCCATTCCTGAACCAAACGATGGCATCTAGGCGCCATGCTCAATCTTGGCCCTGCCAGTCTTAGCTTTCAGCAACACGGGCCAGTTAACTGCTGCTGCCAACTTGGGCTCTCAGTGTTTACAGAGGCCTGTGAGCGCCTTTAGGCAAATCACTGAGTCTACATAATGCTGCCGGGAGGTCACCCTCTGACACAACATCCCCACCCTGGAGAGACGCCTCTCTGGGGAGTGTGTAGGGAGTGCTGGGGGTGTTCAGAAGACACAGCCTTGATTCCCACCCACAGCCAAACTGGACTCATCTGATAAACTTGGACAAATCAACCACTTAATTTTGACCCTTGGATTATTTAGTTTCTATAATTCAGAGTTCATTCATGCTCACACTTGGAAGAATACAATGTTTACTACATTTTGAAAATGGAGTCTTCAAAAGGGACCCACTCACTAGACTGCTCCTAGCAAAGGACTCTGTACACGCTAGGCACTCAGTTCATGCTTTTACTGACTTCCAGACTCCTGGCCCAAATACATCATTCGACTGTGTAACAGGCGGCTCTAGATGCCCCCGTAACGGATCCGTGAGGCAGATGAAGCGGAAATGGCTACATCAGGCTGAGCTGAAGACAGCACTGTCAGGATTGACCATCTAACTTTCTTTCACTCAACCCTTTAACTGAACACCAACAGTGCATCAGACATTGTGGGCTAGGAAATAGCAGGGGAAAAATGAGACATTATCAAGGTGCTCAGGATCACAAACTGGAAAGCTCAGGCAGTGACAGGGACACACAGCAGGGAAGCTTTTGGCTACTTCCTATTTATAACCTGGCTCCCAAATAGGTCTGCTGGGGAGAGGCTATATTTTTCTTCCCCAGTTTAGAAATTGGCCTGTTGATTTATTCACAAAGTAGCCCTTTTGAATTAGTTTAATATAAGTCAATCCACTTCCAGTTCACTGCCACGTATAATTTTTGAGCCTACAAGGCAGAGGGCCAGACCTTTGGAAAGTACCAAGGATTCCTACTCTAGTCTTGTCTAGGTGCTAGGCAATTTTCCTTGTCTTGTTTTAAATTTACACCTTTTCCAAAATACACTTTATAACTTCAGAATATTTTTACTTAATTTTTTTCCCTAAATGATTTCCACAGATAAGATACTGGTGGTCTTCCCCGTTGTATTATAATAATCTCAAGGTCCAATCTTTCCATTTAGGCCAGTTACTACATCCTGTATACAACAAGCATTTCCGTTCATGCCTTCACCACATGTTCACAGAATCCTAGAATATGCCGGTTCTGTGGCAGAAGCTGTGAATGAAATGGACACAGGTCCTCATCATCATGGGCACCAAACAGACAAGTAAGCCGGCATGATGAGAGCCCACGACAATGAAGTACAGGGTGCCACAGGACCTGCAGGGGCAGGGAGGGGCATGTCAGGAAAGACCTCTCAGAGGAATTATCTAAAAGTGCGACCTTAAGGATAATTAGGAATTAGGGGGAGGTGGACTGGGTGGGATAGGGAGGGTGTGTGCACAGAGGGGTTAGTATATGTAAAGGACTGGAGATGAAGGAGGGGAAGTGCAAGTACATGAGGCTGGAGAGGAAAGCTCAGAACCATCATGGCGGGCCTTGCAAGCTACCACAGAGGCTGGACTTTATCCTCAGAGCCGCAGGACATCCTGAGGAGGTTTTTAAGGGGCAGGGGAGGAAAAGACTGACATCTTTCGATTTGCATTTTACAACAAACAATGAATAAGTGCTTGTCAAGTGTCATTACTGAGTGAACTCTTACACAATATTCAAATAGTAAGACTTTATCTTTTGAAAAGCCAGCTCTCATAGGTTATCTGAAGGCTGTTTGGTACCTGTAAGACATGCAGACAAAGCAGAGTTATAGGAAACATTGAGAAAGCAGAAGCTACTTTTAACAGACCCACAGTCTGGGGTGCCTGTGAAACTGAGAAGTGGCTCAAAGCTCCCATACTGTCCCCCTGCCAGTGCCCAGCATCATGGCTTCTGCCTGTGAGGAGTGGCCTGCCCTCCTCCTAATGGCTCTCAAGCACTTCCCGTGGAGCAGGTGCGGGAGGCTCCGCAGAGCACCGCAGGAATGCAGCCAATTATCTCCAGGCCACAGAGAACAGTGACCAACTGAGGAGGACACTGGGAACTTTAAAAGAAAATCCTGGACTTTCCAATGGGTTTCTTTCTCTACAGTCTTCCCCTAAAATTCTCTCTCTGCCTTCCAACATCCAAGATCCAAAACCAAGCACCACAGTGCAAATGTGAAGGACTTGGGAGAAAAGACCGCCTGAAATTTGGGAGACTGCAAACCACACGAGCAGGCCGAGGACAAGGGTAAGAGTGTGGAAGCTTCTCTCTCAGAGCCCAGAGCAACCAAGTGCAAGCCCACACTCTCCCTTTGCTGGTCCCTTCTGTACGCTCATCTGAGAGTGGCCAGATTCCAACTCACTGAGGTCAGACCAAAAAAAAGGTATTCTGCGCCCCTCTACTAGAGTGGGAAAATGGGTGACTTTTAAAAAGCAGAACAATAGGATCTGAAAAGAGGGATCGAGAGTTTATTTGGGAGCACAGAGAACTGTTATACAGTCTAAAACAGTTGCTGTTTAGAAGGCTTTTCAATGGTGAACTTAGGATGATTTTAAACTACTCAAGAATTCTAGGTCTCTTTAGTGGAATACAATCTAATTAGAACTCTCCCAACAAGGTGGGAAGTGCTGTCAACACTGTACACTTGGCATGCATGAGTTTTACAATCATCAGCCCCTACTTGAGTGAAAAACTTATGGCAAGAAGCTCTAAATTGCACTACCCTAAGGAAACTCCGGAGAACTAGGATGACACCTCAGCCACGCGGACCAACCGATGCCTGCAATGCGGGACTTCCTAAAGGCTGACTCACAGACACAAAGGAATCCTTCATTTGGGCTTGACCGACCACAGATCTGAAAGGGAGACGGGTCAGAAGCTCAGAGCGACCGCCCTCTCGGAGACCCACACCACATGCTGCACACAAGGCACAGCCAGAAGGAACGGAACTGAGCTTCGTTCCACCTTCCTGAGAGCATCAGGGCCCCTGTGAGCAACTGTGTGGCTTTCTCAAGAACTTTCTGAGAACAAAACTGGAACACTTTCTACATTTACAGGGAGAGAAACTGAGGCAAACAACAAAGGGTAACTGGATTGAAGAGGAACAAAAGTCCATTAATGCCAGTTTGCCTCTTCACTAGGTCCCACTGCCTATGAAGAATGGAGCTAAGTTACCCATTTGCAAATTCCTGATGAAAAATCAAATCAAACCAAAACCCCAAAACCCTATCTGCAAACTGACCCAAGATACCTGGCAGCCACCGTAAAATGCCTCTTCATGCATTTCACTCAGAGGCGGAGTGTGTGGCTCTCTGCATTCTTCCTGCTCCTTGGCAGAGTGGTCACCAGGACTCCAGTCCAGCATTACTGTGACCCAAAGCCTTGTGGGAGGGCTTAGCCAGTGGGCCTGGGACCTGACTGACCCGGGCAGCCAGACAGACAAGCCTGGATCACGACAGAGTTCTGGAATAGTGCCTGCTGCCAATCCACTACTCAGACCCATCCAGGCAGTGCTTTGCTTTCCACCCCGTGGAGGCACATCTCAGCTTCCTTCTGGATTGCGACTAAGCTGTCTTAGAACTGCATCTGCTCTAGAGCAGAGCCTCTCAAACGTTCAAAGTGGACACAATTCCCCTGTAAGTTCTGATTCCGCAAGTCTGGAATCAGACTGTGCTTTTCTACCAGCTCTTAAGCAAAGCCCATCCTGCTGCTGAGGGGTACCCGCTGGGTAGCAGGCTTCTGTACTGCATACTCCCTACTTCAGTAGTAGATTCTCCTTGTCACAGCTGCCCACTCCTCCCCACCAAACATACTGTGAAGTCTGTGTTTCTGGAAGGGAGCAGTAACACGGACAACCTGAAGATCACATACATTTGGTGTTGGAACACATTTTTCCAGTCTTTTCTGGAATCCTTTTAGATTTTCTGCTTTACCACCCTTTAAGAGTTCATTACAGCTTTTTCTTTTTCTTTTTTTTTAAGGAAGATTAGCCCTGAGCTAACTGCTGCCAATCCTCCTCTTTTTGCTGAGGAAGACTGGCCCTGAGCTAACATCCATGCCCATCTTCCTCTACTTTATACGTGCACGCCTACCAGAGCAAGGCTTTTGCCAAGCGGTGCCATGTCCGCAGTCGGGATCCGAACTGGCGAACCATGGGCTCCCGAGAAGCGGAACACATGAACTTAACAGCTGCACCATTGGGCTGGCCCCTCACAGCTTTTTTAAGGGGTGCAGAACAAACCTGCATATGGTATGCCAGGTGTTGAACCATCACTGTTAAACAAAATGTCACATTACCTTGCATTTAGCAGGCATGCATTGGCTGAGAAGCAAGGAAAGGAGCTGGGGACTTGGGCCCAGTCCAGGATTAAACATTTGCCCAGATAGACAAGATAGTCTTTCTATAAAATCTATGTGGGAAGAGAGACCCATGGGCACACAACCCTACTCATAATGTGCCTATGTACTGTTTTTCTCTGTAGATCTATACTGGATGATGATGGACTAAAACAATCATTATTTATTCTCAACGTGTGCTACTGTGAAACAATATGGTCTCCGAACAACAGTCTTTTCTATACTGCGTTTTGAAGACTACCCTCTAAAAATAACCGCCAAGGAATTCCAGGAGTCTACAGTCTTCCCTCACAAATTTAGCATGGAACCCTTAGCATGGCTAAGGCATATCCCTCACCCTCGCCCAGGGAAGAAAGCGCATACATACCCAGTTTGGGGACAGGCTGTGTGTCCCAGAACTGGTAGCTTCGCTTGCTAGCTTCCTCCATGGTTTTGGCAGGTCCCTGACCCACTGAAAACAATTCAATGGCCTTCTGTATTTCCTGGATCCTCTCTGCTGGCAAAGAGTTCATCTGGACAAGACAAAGTTGTGGAGAGAAAAGGCCCATTATGTTAATAAGCACTTTTGATTAATTGTAATTCAAGAGTTAAGGGGTATAACTCAAAGAAGGGGTGCGGTTCCTCTGTCCTAATCCCAGAGGTCACACATTGTACGCCAACTGGACAAAGAGTGGGTGCTTCCTACAGGGTTCCTCTCCTTCTCAGTCTTTTGACGTCTGATGGCAAAAGTAATACATGCTGAGGGGACCAGCCTCGTGGCCGAGTGGTTAAGTTCACGCGCCCTGCTTCGGCGGCCCAGGGTTTTGCCGGTTTGGATCCTGGGCGCGGACATGGCACTGCTCATCAGGCCATGCTGAGGCGGCGTCCCACATGCCACAACTAGAAGGACCCACAACTAAAATACGTACTGGGGGGATTTGGGGAGACAAAAAAAAAGCAGAAAAAAAAAGTAATACATGCTCAGTATAAAACCTCAAACAATGCAGAAATGCATAATACATACATAAAGTAAAACCCCAACAACCTCATCGCTCAAATATAATCCTTGTCATCAACAGTCTTAATCTGGGAGGTAGGTTGAGAGGAGGCAAATACAATTTCAGATTTTTTTGGATGCAAGTTCCAAATACATACAAAATTTTCAAAAGCTAAAATTGGATTATATACTATTATTCTACAAGCTGCTCTTCTTTAAAAATTATGTCTTAGAGACCTTTCCATGTGGACAGAGACCTGCCCATTCTAACAACTGAGTCCACCTTGTGCATGGACCACAATATATTCAGCCAACCCCCTACCGATTGGCATTTTGGTGGTATTGCTCTTCCGTTTTACAAACAACGCTATAATGAAGTTTTTGTACGTCTATTTTTGCCCACTGGGATATGTATTTCTATGGGATAAAGTCTAAGAAGGGAGGCTTGCTAGGCCAAAGGACATGCACATTTGAAATTAATTATATACATCATCAACTTGCTCTCTAAAAAGAGAATATCAATTAATAACCCAATGAACAGTCAGTGAGGGTGTGTTTCTCCAGACCCTCAGCCTTACATTTACCAAATCTTAATCTCTGCCAATCTAGGAGAAAAAGAATATTGCTTTAATTTTCATTTCTTTCATTGTGAGTTTAACTATCTTTCTATATAATGATTGAACATTTATTTTTTTGTAAACTACCTACTCATTTCATTATTTAAATTGACTGATTCATGTATTGTAAGTATTTCCCAGTTTGTTGTTTATCATTTTGACTTTTACAGAAAAGTTTTAAACTGTCAATTAAAAAAATAGTCAATTTTGGGGCTGGCCCCGTGGCCGAGTGGTTGGGTTCGCGTGCTCTGCTGCAGGCGGCCCAGTGTTTCGTTGGTTCGAGTCCTGGGCACGGACATGGCACTGCTCATCAAACCACGCTGAGGCAGCGTCCCGCATGCCACAACTAGAAGAACCCACAACGAAGAATACACAGCTATGTACCGGGGGTCTTCGGGGAGAAAAAGGAAAAAATAAAAAATCTTAAAAAAAAAAATAGTCAATTTTCCTTTTATGGCTTGTGGGTCTTATGTCAGGCTTAATTAAGATGATAAAAACACCTAATTTTTTCTAGTACTTTTACTTTATGACTTCTTTTTCTTCATTTAGGTTGTGAAGGAAAGGAAGAATATAAGCCAACATGTTTATATTGCTTATTCCTGGGAGGTGGGACAATATGTGATTTTAATTTTCTTTGTCTTACTAGTTTTTTTTCCTAAATCCTCTATAATGAACTGCATTACTCTCATAATGAGAAAAACAGAAGGACTATATAAATGGTGTTTTGTTAAAACTTTATTTATTTACTTTTTTTGAGGAAGATTAGCCCTGAGCTAACATCTGCCGCCAATCTTCCCCTTTTTTGCTGAGGAACATTGGCCCTGAGCTAACATCTGTGCCCACCTTCCTCTATATGTAGGATGCCTGCTACAGCATGGCTTGATAAGCAGTGTGTAGGTCCATGCCCGGGATCCAAACCCACGAGTGCCAGGCAGCCAAAGTGGAGCACGCGAACTTAACCACTACACCACTGGGCTGGGCCCTAACATTGTCTAATTTCAAAGTGAACCATTTTGATATAGACTTGCTCTCAAATCCCCCTGCAGTCATCCGAACGCCCACCTCCAGACAGACAGACAGACAAACATCCCTAAAGCCACACATGGGCTTAGGCTAGAACTCCTGACTGAAAGACTTGGCTAGGCCAGCTCTCTTATCTTGAAAATGCGAAGATGCCCCACCTAACCTTGTAGGGATGCTGAAGGTTTGAGTTAATTTAAACGGAGTGCTTGACAAGAGCCTAGCCAACATGGTGGTCAATAATGGTGGCATTTTTTTTCATAGTGGGTTCGATATTGAAAATAGTAAAAAATTACTTGAAGCCATTATCTCAATAAGGTAGGAGATTCAAGTTGGAGCACAACATCTGAGGCATTAAGTCAAGTGTGTGCATACTGAATGAGACTGGATTTCTTAGGAGGCTTACAAACTGTTTTGGAGGCAATCCTAAAAGAGGAATTCTGGATATGTTTTGAGCTTCCTCCAGGGCCTACTTTGAAGAGGAGAGCACTTACCTGAAAGAAAAGGTTTTCTTTTTTTAATGTTTTATTTAGGAAGCAAAACAATCCTTTCCCATACCTCTGGGTTTCATGTCAGTGTGTCAGTCTCAGGTCGTAAGCTCTAGGCCAGTGGTTCTCAACCGTGGAACTTAGAAAGTGACTCGGTGGGACTCTCGGTTTCCATTACAATGACCATGGCAGTAAGAGGACGCCGGCAGTATATAAAGGTCGGCCTTAAAAAGAACTGCTCTTTCATTCTCATAGCAGTGGGGGCTTAAGAGAGAAAAGGCTGAGAACCGCTGCTCTAGGCAATGGGGCTATCACCATGTCACCTAGCACAGCGCCACACGCGGTTATGTACCTGGACAATCTGAGGGGCACCACGCCTGCAGGTCAACGTCTGACCTGCTGTGTCTTTTAAGGTACGAGAGCAGTTTCATCACCTAGGTCTGGGGCAGCAGAGGCATCCAACTCCTCCATCTTGAAGTAACACCATGGAGACTGTCAATCTAAACCGTTCCTATACATCTAGCCCAAAACTGTCTGTTCTGAAACAGCGACTCTCAGTCCCAAGCAAACAGAGCCTCCTTGTTACCTTCACAGGCTGATCCTGGGCTGAATCGGTTTCACTGCCTTTCTCTTTCTTCTTTTTTTGTTTCTTTTTCTTCTTTTTGGCTCCAGTGTCATTGGCTGGACTCAAACCACTGTAAGAGAAAGCAAATACTGATGCAGGGTTTTAAAAAATCGTCTGTTTTGAGCTACACTGACAAAGAGCTTTCTGTGGAGCCAGACCCTCCTTCATCAAGTCTTTGGCTTCAGAAGCAGACTCGAGAATCCAGGTTCCCAGAAGGGACACTTGGAGGCCACCAGTCAACACAGCTCTCCTCCCCATTCCCACCAGCTCCCAGGGAGGGAACACTGTGCAAGGAATGTCCTATTTGTTTGAAAGGACCTTTTCCCTTCTTGCTTTTATTTTGCGTGTTTATTTTCTTTAGATTGCCAGGTTGCTGGCACCAAAGGCAAATGATACTTGTTAACAGGGCATTCACACCACCAACTCTTCCTCAGAGCCCCGAATTTAAAAGAATGTCAGCCCAAAGTGGTCTTTTTGGAAACCCTTCCTCATCCTCACTCCCACCCTCCCAGTGCATCAGGTTTAATGAGTTTCGCAACTGGATCCAAAGCACAGCGCGGCACTGGAAAGGGGGCGCAGAATGGGCAAAAAGCAGTTTACCATTGCTGTGCTCTGTGTCCAAAAGAGTCAAATAATCATGAGCAATGCCTAAATCAGGCCTGCAGGATTGAGGACAACTGTCAGTTGGCTCAGACCGGGTGATCACCACAGGCAAAACCCAGCACTAGGAATCTGGGGAAAACGACAACAATGAAGTACCCAGCCACTCCTGCCACGAAGAGATTACATGAAACATGCGTGTGCATGCCAACATGGTAAAAGGGACTTCCTCATCTCACTTTCCCTCTGCATGACACACACAATGAATGCAGCAAAAACAGTTTCTTGGCACATTTAACAGCTTCCTATCATCTTCTATTATCATTTTCTGTATTCTCTCTCAATATCTTTATTGAAAGACAAATCACAGATTATACTGTGTTTCTCTGACATTTTCCATTCATTCACTCCCTAATGTTTTCTCCCAATTCTTGTTGATTTCAGGATGATGGTTCTGATTCTGGGTTTCCTTCATTTTATTGATGAATTTTAAGGTTCATCTCGCAGCTTGCTTTCCTAATTACTGCTGTAGTTGGTTTCTGCCACGTCTAAATTGATTGTGGCATTGTTAGTCTGGGAGTGATGCCCAGTATCACTCTGCCATTCTCCATGGAAATCTTCCATTTAAAAAGTCAAAATTAGGAATCCAATTTGAGAGTACAGTGAACCATAATCTGCAGGATCAGCTAAACTCAGGGTAAGGTTTTAGCTGTATATACTAGATAAATAATTTTGAAATAATTGAAACAGTATAAAATACATTTTCCCATACTCTTATGACAAATACCATTTAAGCTTTATTTTACAATTCAGAAAGCCTTCATGATCTTAAAATGCCTTGGGGTTATTATGAATATTAATTATCATTTCATAGCAAGTGGTACTGTGTAGGCAGAAGGCAGTCTGCAACTATGAGCTGCCATTTCCTGTTGTAGAATGTCTCCAGACTCACCCCTTCCTAGTGCTGGGAGGAGCACTGGCAGTTAAGACTTCATGACCTTACACTTGGACTAACGTTACCTCCAGCCTTTACTGGAGCTCCCTGACTGCACAACCTTTCTGAGTCTCCTAAACTCTATACAGCTGTGGCACTCGCCTCTGTGAAAATGGCTTTCCATGTGGCCCTCCCATGCTTGAAAGCCTACAGTGGCAGCAGCTTCTTAACCTGGAAGGCATCAAGCCCAACTTTTCCCGAGGCCCATCACACTCAGTTCCCATCTAGCTCATCCACCCTCACCTCCCTCTGCTCTGCACCCATCTGCAGGTCCTTTCATTAGGCCCCTGACACAAAGACTGTGAAGTCAGGGAGAGCCAGCAAAGCCTAGAGGTTAATTTTTCTTTCCTGCTTTTTCTCCCCAAATCCCCCCAGTACATAGTTGTAAATTTTAGTTGTGGGTCCTTCTGGTTGTGGCATGTGGGACACCACCTCAGCATGGCCTGACAAGCGGCACCATGTCCACACCCAGGATCCGAACTGGCGAAACCCTGGGCCACCGAAGCAGAGTGCACAAACTTTTAACCACTTGGCCAAGGGGCTGGCCCCATAGAGGTTACTCTAGTCCAAATGTAAGGTCCTGAAGTGGAGATGCAAGTGCACCTCCTAGGCATTATGCTAATGACACAGAAGGCCTACCATGCAAGGAAGACAGACAACATTCAGAGGGGGAACAAACTGAATGCCTAAAAACCAGATGCTCAGCGAAACTCCCAAGGCCATGGCAGAGAACAGGAACCATAAAGTCATTTATCGCCTGAAGATAATTTTTTTCTCTTAATAACTCAATTTTGCCATCACACACAGGCCCGTTTGCAGCCTATGACAACAACTCTATGCAGTTTTCTTATTCCACAGACAGTGTGACTTCAGTCTCATGACTACATGCAGCATTATAAGGTTTAAACTGTCTGCTGTTAGGAGACAGAGCAGCGTCCCCCCTATTGCACAACAGAGAAGTCTTTATTCACCTCAGCTTAAGGAACGAATTTTCTGGTCCCAGTACATGAACTACCATAAGAATCATTTTTTATAATTCTGTGGAAAAAAGAATGAAAAAGGCCAACGTGAAGAATTGCTGCACATTAACCATTTGGATATTTACTAAACACAACTTCACATAAGGAAAACAGAAGAAATTCCTCCAAATTTAGACGTCTTTATAAATGTGCAAAATGGGGGCGGCCCGGTGGCGCAGCGGTTAAGTGCACACGTCCGGCTTCGGAGGCCCGGGGTTTGCCGGTTCGGATCCAGGGTGCGGACATGGCACTGCTTGGCAAGCCATGCCATGGTGGGCTTCCCACATATAAAGCAGAGGAAGATGGGCACGATGTTAGCTCAGGGCCAGTCTTCCTCAGCAAAAAGAGGAGGATTGGCAGCAGCTAGCTCAGGGCTAATCTTCCTCAAAAAAAAAAATTAAAAAAAAATAAATGTGCGGGGCTGGCCCTGTTGCCAAGTGGTTAAGTTCGCGTGCTCCACTGCAGGCAGCCCAATGTTTCGTTGGTTCAAATCCTGTGCGCGGACATGGCACTGCTCATCAAACCACGCTGAGGCAGCGTCCCACATGCCACAACTAGAAGGACCCACAATGAAGAATATACAACTATGTACTTGAGGGGCTTTGGGGAGAAAAAGGAAAAAAAAATAAAATCTTAAAAAATAAATAAATAAATAAATGTGCAAAATCACTAAAACACTACCTTCCTGCCTTTGCTCCTGCTTTTCAGTGGAGACACTTCTGTGCAGCCATCTCCTCACGGACCCCAGTTTTATGGAAGGATCCTGGGCTGAACTCTCGCTCTGTTTTATGCATTACTAATACAAGTGCCTGGCAAACTCCAAGACCCAAACTAAAAAAACCAGAGAGTGAACTTCATTTTCCTTGCATTGGCTTGAATGTGCATATGCAGCTACTGAGCAACAATCCTGTTTCAACTTGCACATCAAGCATACAGAGACAGCAGAAGAACAAAGGAAAGACAAGTTAAAAAAAAAAAAAGTCATTTTTACTAAGCTACCAGGTATTGAGCCACGTCCACGAGAACACATTACGAGCTCACTCTGGTCTTGGAGTCAACACCCCAAACAGGAAGAAAACTGACTCAGCAAAGAGACTTCCAAGGAGCCCACTAGGGTTAGCTTTCAAGGTGATTATAATAATTTTAATTATTCATAAGAAACCAAGATCAGAGGCCTTGAGAGTAGGTCCTCAAGAAGCATCCTAGGAAGTCAATACCATTTCACAAAAGAATACCCTCAATTCGGAGTGGAGGAGAACCAAAACAGAGCACCCCACAGAAGCCAGGCTAGACCTTCTCTAAGAATTCAGCATCATTTTCAAAGGGACCTCAAGTCCATACCCACTGGGCGGGTATCCCAGGGCATGCTGGGATTCTGCAAATTGAAACGGAAATCTCTCAGAGATCTTTCTAAGCCTGCCAGTCACCTAACATACTCCAAAGAGATTGGCCAGAACCCTGGAATACAGCAAATCAAAGTCCAACTTTGGTTCATATGATTCCAAAATAACGAGCAGAGAACTAGTCAAACTTGCCTCCTTTTATCAGGGGGGTGTGTGTGTGCCTACAATGGAAAAGGAGATGGGAGTTCACATAAAAATTTTGAAATTTACATTGTAAAGTACAGTAAAGTTGATCAACTCAAGTCATTAATGACTAACCTAGTGAATAAGCAGAATGATAGGCCCAGGAACAGGGAAGAAAAGGAATTAAGAAACGCCATTTTTTAATGAAAGGCAAAATATTCTAAGTTCAAACATATAAGCAATCCTATGGCTGCTCTGGTATAAAGTCAGGGCTGGGGGAGGAGATGGAAAATGAACTGCAGTACTTATTTCCAGAAACAGAATGCAGCGGCAGGGTGTGCAAGTGGGCGGGAGGGAAGGGCCAGCTGACACAAGCAGCGAACTTCCAGACAACATGAGCAGTAAGGGTTCGTAACAGAGGCATCCTCTCACTCCTACTGGGTGACAAAATCCACTCAAAGGTGTGTGGCTGAGGAACTGAGGAGCTGTTTTTGTGCGAGCTAAACCACCAGAGCTGGAAGGAATTCAGGGCCATCTGGCTTAACCTGTTATTTACAGAAGAGGAAACCAAGGCCAGAGACGTGAGGCAAACCGGTCTTCAACTAACCAACTAGTACCCAGGGACAAGCCACTAATCTCTAAAGACTTGGCCCATTCCTCCGCAAACATTCCCTGTAAGAATTTACCTGAGACTCTTCCAAAGCCAAAAGAACATGGTTTCATTACAGAGGGAGGGCCCTAGCACAAATTTCTGTGTGTCAGACGAGCAGGTATTCAAGCCATGAGGGGAATGAGCCATGCTTGCTCCAGGAAGCTTCCTCTAGCTCACGGAGGCCTGTCGGTTTTAAGATTAGGATCACCCAAACAATTTAATTCTTTATATTAATAACGTGTTGCTTCCTGGCTTCCCAATGAGATTAAAAATGTCCTG